CCAAGTATGAAGCCAATTCACTGGCAGGTATTTTTCAGCCACAACTAATCTAACGTCCTTCACAGTCAAGACCACGTTTGCTGACAGACATCCCAGAGCTCCTCCTTCGAGCCTGAAGTGATCCTGCAAAAGGTGCTGGTTCAAGTACAGCAGCCAAAGACAGTAAAATGCATTCTCGCCTCTAGAATAGAGGGTTCCCACGCCAAGGCACAGGCAACTTGGCATCTACCTCTACTGTGACAGCACTGAGCAGAAAAGTTTTGTAAAGCACTGGACTCTCGAAGCCACCACATCTGTTTAAATTCCTTGCCCATCCAATTAAGGCCCCCAAGCTACATATTAGACCATCAACAAAGAGACATTCCACTTACCTTCGATGTGACAGACTTGGGAGTCACGGAAATAAGGTAGTGTTGAGACATAAATTTTGGCACCAGACGCTTGCCTCAAGACGCTCATAAATCTTCCTTGTTTGCCGATCAAGCGGCCGACTAATTCCTTTGCGAAAGGGACAGGAAAGCAACAGTCAGGAAGAGAAACACAGATCAACCAACGCTGTTCCCTGTGGCTTCTTTCACCCACGTTCCCAGCTCCTCTAGCATAGGGCCAGGCAGGATAAACGTAAGGCAACGCTGGAGCCGCGCAGAGCCCAGCTGCTCTCTGATACGTCAAGGCACATACAGCTCAGTAAGCACAGCTCACTTTGACAGATCGCTCTTCGTGTCCTGTAGAACACCACAAAGACACGATGGGAGAAAACCGGACCTGCTAAAGACTACTGTCTTCCTACAGTCAAGCAAAGTCACGTCCTCTCAAGCCTACTGTCTTCCTACAGCCAAGCAAAGTCACATCCTCTCCCAGCCTTGCATCACTTTTTTTTTTTAAAAAAAAAAGCATGCTAGATGCATTTTTAATTCAAATACAAAATACAAAGTTTTCGCAATTTTTAAAGAAGCTAATTAGGTCAGAAAGGGAGCAGACAAATTCACAAGAGTAAACCAGGCCATCATGCCCATTAGACTACAGAGGCCCTGGGCAGCTGTGCAGGGTGAGGAAGAGACATCTGTGCAAGCCCTGTCATTTCTACTCTTTCACTGGCACCTGCCACCACTTACTGTCAGAGACCAGCTACCAGAGCAGTAGTGTTGGGCCACAGTCCGTATGGATAATCCTATACAATGTCAAGTTAACTACTTTAAGAAAAGTGACAGCCTGTCTTCATTAACCTATTTTTCTGCTGTAGAACTGCTTCCTTAGCCTGTGTTTTACCGATCTGCTAAAATGCACGTTCCTGTGTCTTCACCGGGCTGGCAGCAGCCAAGCTTTCGAGGCAGCACGCTTAGCCCAGCCGGGAGCTGCTGGCTCACGTTCCTGGCTGGCAGCATTCGGGTCTGCTGAGAAGCAGA